GAAGGCTACTTGCTTGATCCTCAGACACTCACATGGTACCGCTTTTCTTTCCCCTTCGTCCCGACGGGGTTTTATCCCGCCACTTCCTCCGGTGGATTGATCGGATGGGTTTCGCATGAGGCGGGCTCAAAGAACATCCTCTTATGCAATCCCCTCGTCGGGTCGCCATCTTTGGTCCCGATTGCCCCGACTTTAAGGCCTAGGCTTTTCCCTTCAATTGGATCCAACATCACAAGCTCTTCAATAGACCTGGTGGTGGCCGGAGATGACTTAACATCTCCTTATGCAGTCAAGAATCTAACAACAGAGAGCTTCCACGTGGACACAAATGGGTTTTACTCCATATGGGGAACCACTTCTGCTCTCCCAAGACTGTGCAGCTTTGAATCAGGCAATATGGTGTTCGCAGGGGGGAGATTTTACTGCATGAATTCCAGCCCATTCAGCGTTCTCTTCTACGGCATTTCGTCGAACACCTGGTGCAAAATCCAACCCCCGATGAGGCGGTTCTTGCGCTCCCCAAGCTTAGTGGAGAGCGGAGGAAGGCTGATCATGGTTGCTGCGGTGGAGAAGAGCAAGCTGAACGTGCCAAGAAGTCTGAGGATGTGGGCCCTCCAGGACTGTGGGACCACGTGGGCGGAGATCGAGAGGATGCCTCAACAGCTCTATGTGCAGTTCACAGAAATGGAGAATGGGAAGGGGTTTAACAGCGTAGGCCATGGGAATTTTGTGGTGATCACTATCAGGAATTCAGACAAGGCTATGCTGTATGAATTCAAGTCCAAGAAGTGGGTGTGGGTCCCTCATTGCCCCTTTGTTCATCAAGTTTCATCCTCACGCGGCGGCGGAGGTGGAGGAGTTGAGCTGCATGGGTTTGCATATGAACCAAGACTAGCTACACCAGTGACTGCACTACTTGATCAGTTGACACTTCCCTTTTAATAACTCACTATGTTTAGTGAACTTTATCATTAATTCATTAATTAATGATTTCGTAATTACCGTGATGCACTCACTTTGTTTTGACTTTGTAGATCGGATGATTAGATGAAGAATATTAATGTTGTGTTTGGAGATCAAAAGCGGTTATGTTGGTTGGAGTTGAATGGTTTGTTGAATGTGACGTTATTAATAGTTTTAGTAATTTATCCTAAATTGTGGCACGATTTTATCAATTATTCATAAGCAATATTTCATTTTTTTTATTTAAACTAGTATAGTACCGTGCATACGCACGGGAAAGAATAGTTGGTGCATATATTTTATTCATGATCTAATTATTTATTAAAATAAAAATAACTTTTTAGGATTCTACATTTTCAAAAATTAAGAGTACAATAAGTTAATACACATACAATAAATATTTTATGAAGAGTATATTACGGAAAATTAATTGTCAACACTCATTAGTTGAGGCAAAAAAGTGAGAGGCAAAATATTAATTGTCAACACTCATTAGTTGAGGAAAATTAATTGTCAACACTCATGATTAAATTAATTTTAAAATTAAATACTATTATAAAAAAGTGAGAGGTAAAAAATTTAAGTGAATACAAAATATTAAAATTAACAAATATTAATTAAATAAGAACTTCCTACTGATTAGTTAAATTAGTGTTAACATATGAGAGAAAATTATTCTGCTCAATTGTTAGTCGGCTTATCTTATGCCTAAAAGAACTACTTATCAGAGATACTTCTTTTGATCAATTGTTAGTCGGGTTATCTTATACCTAAATCACTACGTATGAAAGAGAAAATTGTTCCGCTTAATTATTCACCAACTTATTTTATCTTATACTTTAAAGAATTACATATATGAGAGATGGAAAATCTCCCGCATATTTGTTAGCAAGTTTATCTTCTAATACCTAAAAGCACTACACATGAGTGAAAAAAAATTCCCGTTCAATTATTATCTTCTTCTTCTTATATGTGAGAGAAAATTTTCACGCTCAATTTGAAATCACTTTATCCAATACATAAAAGCACTACTACATATGAGAGAAGAAGTTTTCCCGCTCAATTGTTAGTCGGATTATCTTATACTTAAAAACAACTACATGTGAGAGAGAAAGTTCCGCCGCTCAATCGTTAGCAAGCTTATCTTCTTATCTACCTAGACCTAAAAATACTGCGTATGAGAGATATAATTATTCTGCCCAATTATTAGACGACTTAACTTATATTTAAAATAACGATATATGAGAGAAAAGTAATCTCGCTCAATTGTTAGTAAGCTTCTTTTCTATCTTATATACTTACAAGAATTACATATGAAAACAGAAAGTTCTCCCGCTCAATCATTAGCAAGCTTATCTTCTTATCTTCTTATACATAAAAATACCATGTATGAGAGAAAATCATCCAGCTCAATTATTAGACGGCTTATCTTATTCTTAAAATATCTACATATATATGAGAGAAAAGTAATCTAATTCAATTGTTAGCAAGCTTCTCTTCTAATCCCTAAAAGCACTACATGTGAAAGAGAAAAATTCATCCGCTCAATTATTAGCAAGCTAATCTTCTTATACCAAAACACTACTTATGAGAGAGAAGATTCTCTCGCTCAATTGTTAGCCGGCTTATCTTCTAATCTTCTAGTACCTAAAAGCACTGCGTATGAGAGAGAAAATTATTCCGCTCAATTATTAGCAACGTTATCTTCTTATAACAAAACCACTACTTGTGAGAAAGAAAATTCTCCCACACAGTTGTTATCAGGGCTTATCTTCTTATACCTAAAAGAATTACATATGACAGAGAAAATTCTCCCACTCAATTCTTAGTCAGTTATCTTTTATATAAAAGGATTACATATGAGAGTCGCTCTGTTGTTAGCTAGATTATCTTATACTTAAAAGAATTACATATGAGAGAGAAAGTTCTCCCGCTCAAGTGTTAGCAAGCTTATCTTCTAGTACTCAAAATCACTACATATGAGGAAACAAAATTCCCGCTCAATTGTTAGCTGAATTATCTTATAGAATTGAAGGTTGCTAAAATTGAGCGTGATTACTTTTCTCTTATACATGTAGTTATTTTAAGTATGAGATAAGTTGTCTAATAATTAAATAAGATAATTTTATCTCTCATACGCAGTATTTTTAGGTATAAGAAGATAAGAGGATAAGTTTGCTAATGATTGAGCGAGATAACTTTCTCTCTCATATGTTGTTCTTTTAAGTATATAAGATAAGATAAGATAAAGGGAAAACTGTCAAATAGGTCCTCGAACTTTCATAAAAAGGTCAATTAGGTCCTTCTATAGGAGGTTCTGTCCGGCCGTCACGATTTGGGGCAGTTCCCGGTGGAATTTTTTGATGAAATTTTTTGAGCATCTTATTCAGAAAGTCTTGTTTACGCATACCAAATGTCAGCTAAAAATTCAATCGAGAACACATTCAAATTAATTCTTGAAGATAACTGCGCATTTTTGCTTTCTCGAATTAATTTGAATGCGCTCCCGATTAAATTTTTACCTGAAATTTGGTATGAGTAAACTAGACTCGATGAATAAGATGCTCAAAATATTTCATCAAAAAATTCCACCGGGAACCACCCGAAATCGCGACGACCGGACAGAGTCTCCTATAGAAGGACTTAATTGATTTTTTTATGAAAGTTCGATGACCTATTTGACAGTTTTCCCTAAGATAAATTAGAAAAAAACTTGCTAACAATTGACTGAGATCATTTTTCTCTCATATGTAGTTATTCTAAGTATAAGTTAAGCTATCTAATAATTGAGCAGGATAATTTTATCTCTCGTACGCAGTATTTTTAGGTATAAGAATATAAGAAGATAATGTTGCTAACAATTGAGCAGAATAACTTTCCCTATCATATGTAATTCTTTTAACTATAAGATAATTTTGGCTAACAATTGAGTGAGAGAATTTTATCTCTCATATGTAATGCTTTTATATATAAGATAAATTGACTAATAATTTAGCGGGAAAATTTTCTCTCTCATATGTAATGCTTTTTTTTTGTCAAATATGTAATGGTTTTAGGTATAAGATAAGATAAATCTACTAACAATTCAACGAAAAAAATTTCTCTCTCATATGTAATGCTTTTAGGTATAAGAAAATAAGCTGACTAACAATTCAGCGACACAATTTTCTTTCTCATAGAAGATAAGCCAACTAACGATTGAGCGGGAGAACTTGTCTAAAATAAATAAAATCCTATAAATGTGAATGAAAGTTAAACCCTTTTGGGAATACAAAATTTGTTGGTGTAACACTTATGCATGCTATACTTGTACTTTGTGTTCCGGCCCTTGTACTCATTGATTAATGTCCCTTGCATTGGCTATCTCCGTTTAAATAAAAGCCTAACGTTTGGTTGTGTACGTTGCACCTCCGTTAAAATAAAACTTTCTAAAACCATCAATGATCCCCTTCATTCTCGGCTCTCAACGTTAGTAGAGAAGTGTCTCCCAGACAAACCTTACCACCCTTTCGTCTTCTCTCCATTAAGGATGTCTTTACTTTGTCTGTAATTTGTCCCAGACCAGACCAGACCAGTCCAGACCAGATCAGACCAGACCAGACCAGACCAGACTTGGATAGTTATAAAAATACAAAGAAACCAGACCTTACCAGACCATACCAGACTAGTTCAGACCAGACCAGACCAGCAAATTAAAGTCCAAGTAAAAACATCCTAAGTTTTGTCGAATTGATTATTGGGAAAGTTCCCGAAATATGACTAAAAAAGTTTGAAAATTCCAAAATAGGACTGTCATGTTTTTATTCCCAAAATAAGACTAATTACTGCCAAATTTGGAAAATACTGTCATGTTTAAAGTCTGGTACTGTCAAAACATGACAGTAATTAGTCCTATTTCGGGAATAAAAACATGGAAGTCCTATTTTGGAATTTTCAAACTGTTTTAGTCCTATTTTGGGTAATATCTCTTGATTATTTGGTTATGAGTTGCGTTTTCTCAAGTTGAAAAATCAATGTTTTTTTTTCTTTTTCCACTCTATCTCTTCGACTCCGGTGCTCGTAAATCACCCTTTCTACGTGTGTGTGTGTCTATATTCACCGGAATACATTTTAGTTGTGCATTGGTTTTTCCCATCGCACTGAAAATTTTGGATTGTTTGGTCAGACAGGATGGTGTCGTTAAGGCCCAATGAAAGGGCAGAGCCGCGGAGGGCCGCCGGAACAAGTAAAAAGTCTGGTGGGCGCTGAGGACAACATGGTGGAGATCGAAAAAATTAAACGCTAGCTGAAGAAGCGTCGTGATGGGCTTCAAGGGCAACTCTTTTCTACCTCCATCCCCCACGTCCACCTTCGACAAGCAGTCCATTAGTATTCCCAATTCACTTGGTTATGTTTGGATTTTTCATTTTTGTCTTATTTATTAAAGTGTATGTAGTTTCATGGTTTGTTTAATAATTAACCTCAAATTTTGTAAGTGCTTTTGTTGAGGTCACAAGTTTCATAAAATAAAAAAAGTACATTCCCTTGATTGTTTTGGATTGCGTTGCTCAGGCTAATCACACACAATTGAGTAGCTACTTTGAATGAATGCTCATTTGATGACTATTTGAGTTTCATAATTGTTGATTTGCATCTAGATAGCCTTCCTAGAATAGTAGAAGCGGTTTTGTGTCAGACAATAAAGGATAGCAACTTATAAGATTTTAGAAATAACTAGGTTAAGAAGTGTTATCACTTATTCACTAGGTGTGTCATTTAAAAAGCAATGCTCATAGTTCGATCTTAGTTTCCATATTAAACCAAGCGGCACCTACTCTTGCAAAGGAGAGCATATTGGCTTATATGCCAATCATCAAGTGGAGATTAATGTTTAAAGATTGATTGAACATGGGAGTATTATATTTGAAGCCACAATTTTTACTGCATATGAGTATACTTGATTGCCAAGTATTTCATAAAACACCATTGTGGCCTCAGAGATGTTGTTCATGGTTGACATGTTTCTCCATCATAAAAAATTTAGACTGTTTTAAGCCTCTTCTTTCATTTAGTTTTAATGATATACGGTCTGTTTAGGAAGTAGTATTTGGTACGTAGATCGTTTTAGTGAGTTCTATTTTCATTGAAATTATTTTTTATATGCAGCAATCTTGCCAACAAGTCCAAGTTGTGATCAATTTCTTAGTGCCACAGGTATTACATTTGCACCCTAAACACTTATAGTAGTTCATCTATTGTGCTATCTACAAATGTTGTATTTTATCCATGAATGTGGACAAACCAATATAAATTTTTTATGTGTGTTGTTTCCGCACTCTGTTTAGACTCTTTTTTAGTCTTAAAGAGAACAATTAAAGTTCATATGTAATTTCTAAGCTCTTACGGATTTCAATGTTAAATTCGGCTTACCCCGAATTTCTTGTATTCATTCTAGGGGTCGAATGATTTAAATCAAAGATTGGTTTCTAGTTTTAGCCTTCGAAGAGTGTGTGATGAAGAGGATTTCAATTGCAGTTCTATTAATTCTTTGTCAATGGCTTATCTCACATTCTCACGCCTGTTTATATAACCTGTATGTTGCCACATAAAATATAGGCATATCAATCATATATTAGTTCGGCATAATTGCTATTTACTTTGCCTGCATTGTTTCACAGATCTCAATTATATTAACACAGAACTTTCAATACCTTTTACCCTAACAAACTCATATTGGGCATTTACACTTTCGCGCATTGCGCGTCACAAAACTAGTTCTCTCATAAGTAGTGAGAGACCTCCTATTTATTTTCTTTTCTAAAAAGTAAATAGTAGTGATTATATAAAGTGATTATATAGGAGTAGTGATTATACAAATGATGACAATAATTTTTTTGAAGTTTGCTAGCCAAAAATATGATAGAGAGGATATCATCTCTATGCTTGGTTATTTCGGTTGTGATTTTGTAGATCTAACTGATGGGAAAAAAAGTCACAAACGGAACTAATAAAATGCGGAATTAATCTCCGTTTGGCTAAACTTTCCCCAACTTGAATGAACCTTTGAGGATGCAAACAAATAGGGTGTTCTTAATGCAATTAGAACACACACAATATTGCTGCCACATACCAATATATTCAGCTAAAACAGTCACACACCACACACACAAACACCGGAATTTTAACGTGAAAACCCGTTAACTAGGGAAAAACCACGGGACCATTTTGGTCGCTTAAATCCACTATCATCATCAAAGGAGCAGTACAAAGTCTTCTCTAGATAATACTAGAGTCATACAAAATCATCATATCCTTGGAAGTAAGCACATCAAGGTGTATGGAATCAAAGTAGAGCCAAGATAAGAAATATATCACCAGAAAAATAGCTACTGTCCAGACCAGCGAAACCTGACCTCCGGACCTAAAAACCCGATCTCCACCGTCCAGAATGTTGGCTCAGATTCTGTCAAGCTTTTGTCCAAAAATCACGACGATCCAACGGTTCAATCTCCGGGAAACGGAAGTTTTCTGCTGCTGCCTGCTGGAAAAACAGGATGAGCACACTCAGCTCATGTTTTCGACTTGTGTTCTCTTTTCTGCTGCTCTTTCTATCCATCGAATGTAAGACAGTGGCTGACCCATATTTTTATTATTAGCTCCCAAAAATAGAAAGTCAAAGAAGACTTTTAATGGGCTCAATACTTGGGCTTTCCTCATGGGTCAAAAACAAAGAAAAACCCAACAAATCTCCCCCTTTTTGACTTATGAGGAAGAGTTCGCCATACCGGCGATAGAGCAACATACCTTCAACTTTTCCCTTTCTAGAACCTTCGTCAACATATCGGCACCATTATCATCGGTATGAACTTTATCAAGTTCAAACAGTTTGTCTTCAAGTGCATCTCTAATCCAATGATACCTCACATCAATATGTTTGGTTCGTTTGTGAAACATAGAATTTTTAGCAAGGTGAATGGTACTTTGATTATCACAAAGAACCACATAGCGCTGTTGAATAAAGCCAATCTCTTGCATAAATCTTTTGAGCCATAATAGCTCCTTACACGCTTCTGTTGCAGCCACATACTCAGCCTCGGTGGTGGATAAAACCACGCACTTTTGCAGTCTCGATTGCCATGACACAGCCCCCCCTGCAAAAGTCATCAAATATCCAGAAGTGGATTTCATGTTGTCCTTATTTCCTGCCATATCAGAATCAGTATAACCAACAAGTACTGGCTCCCCATTTCCAAATGTTATACCCAATTTGGAAGTACCACGTAGATATCTGAGAATCCACTTCACTGCTTCCCAATGCTTCTTACCTGGATTTGACAGAAAACGACTAACAACACCTACTGCATGGGCAATATCAGGTCGTGTGCACACCATAGCATACATCAAGCTCCCTACAGCTGAGGCATAAGGAACTTTATCCATCTCTTCAATCTTTTTCTCAGAAGATGGACAATCTTTATCTGTCAACCTGAAGTTGGTAGTAAGAGGTGAACTAACCTCTTTAGCTTTGTCCATGTTAAATCTGCGAAGCACCTTCTCAATGTATTGCTCCTGTGACATGTGTAGTTTCTTCAAAGCTCTATCTCGAGTGATCCGAATGCCAAGAATCTGTTTTGCTGGCCCCAAGTCTTTCATAGCAAAAGACTTACTCAATTGCATCTTCTGCTGAGTAATTCTTTCTGCATTCTTGCCAACAATTAACATGTCATCAACATATAACAATAAAATGATGAAATCATCATCACCAAACCTCTGGAAGAAAACACAATGGTCTGAAGTAGTCTTTCGGTAATTTTGCTCCCCCATAACTGATTCAAACTTCTTGTACCACTGTCTTGGTGCTTGCTTCAACCCATAAAGACTCTTTTGAAGTCTACACACATAGCCTTCTTTTCCCTTAACCTGAAACCCGTCAGGTTGCTCCATGTAGATATCCTTATCCAAGTCACCATGAAGAAAAGCTGTCTTGACATCCATCTATTCAACCTCGAGATCAAGGCTTGCTGCCAAACCCAGAACAACACGAATAGATCCCATCTTCATGACCGGAGAGAAAATCTCATCAAAATCAATACCCTTTCTCTGACTGAACCCTTTGACCACCAATCTAGCCTTGTACCTAGGTTGTGAGGTGTGCTCTTCAGTCTTCACTTTGTAGACCCACTTGTTCTTCAAAGCTCTCTTGCCTTTAGGCAACTTCACCAACTCAAATGTATTATTCTCATGTAAGGAATTCATCTCATCTTGCATGGCTTCAACCCACTCCCTTTTGTGCTCATCTTCCATGGCCTCTGCATGACACTAAGGCTCTCCCCCATCAGTGAGTAAGACATACTCATTAGCTGAAAAACGGGTGGAAGGATGATGATCTCTTGTAGACCGCCTAAGTGGGACAAATGGTGGCACGTCTGGTACTGGTATCTCTAAATGAAATTCTTCATCCACCTCTGGCTGTTCTGGAGCATCAGTATCATGTTGTTCATCATTCTGAACATCATTATCAAGAAGTGGTTCTACATGCTGAGGAGGCACTGGATCCAAATCAGTAACATCATCATTATGTTGAGGAACTGTATCTTTCTTCTCAACATCTTTCAAGGTCTGATCTTCCACAAACACAACATCTCGGCTTCGAATAAGTTTCTTGTGGACTGGATCATATAATCTGTAACCAAACTCATCTTGCCCATAACCCAAGAAAACACATGGTTTGGACTTCACATCAAGCTTTGATCTTTCATCTATAGGAATGTGCACAAAAGCTTTGCACCCAAAGACCCTCAAATGACGGTAAGAAACATCTTTGCCACTCCAAACCCTGTCAGGTACATCAAAAGACAAGGGAACACAAGGAGTTAGATTAATAACATGTACCGCTGCATTCAAAGCTTCTCCCCAGAATGAATTTGGCAGCCCTGCATGTGACAACAAACATCTGACACGCTCCATCAAAGTTCTGTTCATCCGCTCTTCTAATCCGTTCAACTGCGGTGTCTTGGGAGGACTCTTTTGATGTCGAATACCATGGTCTCTACAATAAGCATCAAAGGGGCCAATGTATTCCCCTCCATTATCTGTCCGAATACACTTGATCTTCTTTCCAGTCTGTCTCTCAACTGAGGCATGAAACTGCTTAAACACCTCAAATACTTTATCTTTAGATTTCAAGGTATAAACTCATACCTTTCTGGAGTGATCATCAATGAATGTGACAAAGTAGCAGCAACCACCAAGTGTCCTAGTCTTCATAGGACCACAAACATCAGAATGCACCACATCAAGTATACTCTCCTTCCTGGAAGGAGGATGGCTCTAAAAGGAAACGCTGTTCTGTTTACCTGCCAAACAGTGAGAACACTTCTTTAGATGAATATCATGCACACCCGGTAACACATTTCTCTTCAACAAAAGAGACATCCCCTTTTCACTCATGTGACCAAGTCTCTTATGCCATAAATCAGTCATGTCAGTATTCACCACAGCATTAACCCTATCCTTGAAGATCTTCGGATGTGTCATGTACAACTTTGAGCATCTTTTACCTCTAGCCACGATCAAAGAACCACGAGTGAGTTTCCATATTCCATTACCAAAGTTGTTGCTGTAACCATCATCATCAAGTAAGCCTGCGGAGATCAAATTAAGTCTCATATCTGGAACATGTTTTACATTATGTAAAACCAACTCTATCCCAGTATCAAACTTCAAACAAATATCTCCGATGCCTGCAATCTTTGATAGTCCATTATTACCCATCCTAACATTACCAAAGTTACCTGGAGTGTAAGATGAATAAAAATCCCTCTGTGATGTTACATGACATGTAGCACCACTATCAACAACCCAATTGGAATCATCATGTGCAATGTTGACCATATCAAGATCAGAACAAATAAGGATCTCATCGGTAGCAGTGTTAACTTCAGCATTGCCATTACCACCTTCATCTTTCTTATGGTTCTTTTGATTGTTGTAATCGCTCTTCTTCTTCTCCTTTTTCAATTGCCTGCAGAACCGTATTGTGTGGCCTTTTCTACCACAATGATAGCACTCAAAATCAGCAAATTTTCTTTTGGATTTACTTCGATGCTTCCCTTTGTTACCTGGACCTCTACTCTGACTTCTCCCCCTGCTTTCTGTAACTAAGACATCAGAATGTGAAGAGGAACCTTGTGACTTTCTTCTCATCTCTTCATTTAAAACACTGCCTTTAGCTAATTCCATGGTGATAATACCATCTGGTGCAGAGTTGGACAATGATGTCCTAAAAGTCTCCCATGAGTCCGGTAAAGTGCCAAGGAGCCACAAGCCTTGTATCTCATCTTCAAACTTGATACCCATTCCTGCAAGTTAATTTATGATTCCCTGAAAAGAATTCAAATGATCAGTGACAGGAGTTCCATCATGGTATTTCAAGCTCATCATATGTTTTATTAAGAACAATTTATTGTTCCCGGTCTTTCGAGCATACAACTGTTCAAGCTTGTTCCACAAACTGCGAGCATGAGTTTCCCCGCTAATATGGTTCAAAACATTATCATCAACCCATTGGCGAATATACCCACAAACCTGTCTATGCAAAATATTCCATTCTGCATCTGTTTTACTCTCAGGTTTATCAGTAGTAAACACAGGCAAATAATAATCCTTGACATAAAGTAGGTCTTCCATTTTGCCTTTCCAAACATGATAATTAGAACCATTCAAATTGATCATCCTACTTGTGTTTGCTTCCATCATTCAAACAAGTTGAACCCGATACAGAAGAACTCGGCTCTGATACCAATTTGATGGGAAAAACAGCCACAAACGGAACTAATAAAATGCGGAATTAATCTCCGTTTGGCTAAACTTTCCCCAACTTGAATGAACCTTTGAGGATGCAAACAAATAGGGTGTTCTTAATGCAATTAGAACACACACAATATTGTTGCCACACACCAATATATTCAGCTAAAACAGTCACACACCACACACACAAACACCGGAATTTTAGCGTGGAAAACCCGTTAACTAGGGAAAAACCACGGGACCATTTTGGCCGCTTAAATCCACTATCATCATCAAAGGAGCAGTACAAAGTCTTCTATAGATAATACTAGAGGCATACAAAGTCATCATATCCTTGGAAGTAAGCACATCAAGGTGTATGTAATCAAAGTAGAGCCAAGATAAGAAATATATCACTAGAAAAATAGCTATTGTCCAGACCAGCGAAACCCGACCTCCGGACCTCAAAACCCGATCTCCACCGTCCAGAATGTTGGCTCAGATTCTGTGAAGCTGCTGTCCAAAAATCACGACGATCCAACGGTTCAATCTTTGGGAAACGGAAGTTTTCTGCTGCTGCCTGCTGGAAAAACGGGATGAGCACACTCAGCTCATGTTTTCGACTTGTGTTCTCTTTTCTGCTGCTCTTTCTGTCCATCGAATGTGAGATAGTGGCTGACCCATATTTTTATTATTAGCTCCCAAAAATAGAAAGTCAAAGAAGACTTTTAATGAGCTCAATACTTGGACTTTCCTCATGGGTCAAAAACAAAGAAAACCCCAACACTAACGATCAAGTATAGACTCACTTTGCATGTACTGAATTGAAAGTCCAAAATAATGATGAAATGCAAGTAGATTTACTATGCGAGTATTTCGACATGATGATTTTTTTGGTATTGGCTCATACATTTTTGTTCTCGACTGTATATTTGTCAATTGTGAATGTTCATGAGATGTGATTTGTTGAGCTTAAAGTGTACACCAAGACGTGGGTTGCAACAATAATCATTGATCCCAGTGGTGAAATGCTTCAATTTGTTCGGCAAGAATTTGGAACAATCAGCCGCCCTCATCCCTAACTGCTAGAGGAAACTCATATTGGTATTTTATTACAGGCTCCCTGATGGTGTTTTGAAAACTGGTGCACATTGGACAGTACAACAAAAATGCATCCTTCATATGTTTGTGTTCTACAAAACCTGCTTAAATAAGATGAAAGCTCAATATCTAAGAAATTCCGATGAATATCATCATACATTATTATAGGATAATGAGTCACCATGAAAATACGATTTGCTCTCAGCCTTGATTTGTGGTGTAAGTGGGCAGATGAGGTTATATGCCAGCCAAGAGATATTTAATTTGTGGATCTCAAGATTTGCACTGCTATGAGACAATCAATACAATTTTAAACGTGTAAAGTTATAAACAAAGCATGGTATGATAGAATAGACTTATTCTCCACGATTTCACAGCGACCGAGCGTTCAATGGTTGACATGATTTTATACCGACAAACTGTGATGAAGGAGAAAGTCAAATGATATTTAACGCACAATAAGTTTTTTATTTTTTCTTAGGTTCATGATAACATCAAAATTCATAAAAATTCAAAAAGCAAACAACCTTAATGACATAATTGAAAATCAACCGAGTTCTATTATAGGATTAAAAAAGTAACTTACAAAACTGGGAACAAAAATTGAGTAGCGCTTATAAGAGTTAACTATTAATTTCCAAAAGATGTGACACTATATCTATGAAGAAAATTAAAGATGCGACACCATATCTATGAAGACAAATTCTTCATTTTTCTTCTTTTGCATAATATATGTTCTGAATTTGAATTTATAGTTATGGCAGCTGAATTTTAAGTTTTGATTAAGTGAAGAGTGGAGAAAGAGCTAGCAAAGTCTTTGTTGCCATAATCATTGAATCTTTGGCCTATTCAAGCTTTGGTCTATTACTATTGAGTTTTTAAAGGTTACTATTCGTATTTATATTCGTATAATATTTCATTCTTATTTTATATTTCCATTTGATTAGTTTGTTATATTAGAATCTTATTTGATTCTTATTCGAAAAACATTGAAGTTAAGTTATGAAAATAATTAAAATTGTAATTTAAAATTTGCTCCTTTCACTTCATTTTTATAATACATATTTCATTCTGAATAAAGTGTATCTATAAGTCACTTCTTCAATTTTAACATCGATATAAATAATAGAAATTGCTCTATGTAAGACCAAAAATAACTAAAAAGCACAAATAGGACCACTTCATTTTTTTTACCATCCAAAATAGGACTACACAAATTCAGCATACCAAAAATGCCCCTAAGGGTATTATTTCATAATAACATGTTATAATGCATTATAAAATCTTAAAAATAGTAAAAAAATCGTACAAAAAAATAAAAATAAAAAATATTATTAAAATTAAAAAATCAAAAAATATTATTTTTGAATTTGATTTTTAAAAAATTAATAAAAAAAGTAAAAAATCATTAAAAAAAATTAAAAAATATGGAAACCTTTCCCACCGCCTCCCAGAACCACCACCTTTGATCGGTAAAAATTATGCCACTTTTTATTTAAAAAAACCATTTTTTCCCAAAAATGGCATACTTACTCTTCATAATGCCAAAAAATCATTCAATCTACCATTATTATGGCATTAAAAGAATTGTTGGCAGATTTCTTTTTTTGATTTTTTTTTAAAAAATTAATAAAAAAGTAGTAAAAACCCATAAAAAAAATAAAACAAAATGGATAAATCCGATTGGTGCAAATTCTGCCATTATTTATAAAAATATCATTATTTTCTGAAAATGTCAAGAAAATGGAATTATTACTCATCATAATGCCAAAATTATCATTGAATCTGCCATTATTATCGCATTACTACAAATTTTGGCAGATTTCCAACCGGTAATGGAAGGTGGTGGTGCTGGGGGTTGCAGAGGTGGCGGTGTTTATATTTTTATTTTTTGCATTTTTAATTTTTTTTATTAATTTTAAAAAAGAAAAAAAAATAAAAACAAAAAGATTTTTTTTATTTTATAAATTTTTAATGATTTTTTTAAATAATTTTTGACGTTTTTATTATTTTTTTTACATTTTTATTTATTTTTTTTTGAATTTATTATTAATTAAGTCCTTTCAAAAGCCTCAAGGGCATATTTGTCTGAATACACATAAAATAGTCCTACTAGATGGAAGAAAAAACATGTAGCCCTATTTGTACTCTTGGGTCACTTTTTTTTTACCTATATAGGGAATTAACTCTATAAATAATCAATAAAGAATTATACGGAGTAAACTCTAAAATAAACTATTTTGACCTGACAAAGAAGTGAACAGGAGATGCCTCTGCCTATTCGCTTCTCTAAGAACTGAAGGTACAAGTGGCCAAGTGGGTTTAGGTTTCGCTGGTGAAATGGAGCTTGCCATTTGTGAACAAGTGGAGCGAGTTGATCCGGAGGTGGACCATCCCAATCCTAAAAGAGGGGAACAAGCATGCCGCCAATCTTATCGCTGATAGTTCCCCTTTCCTGATGGCCCATTACATAGGTGAGGATGGGATGTCCTTATCTCCCAGGCCGGCTATGCTTGATCTTTAGTTCATATTTCTTTAATTATATTCTTTTGTTGTTGGTGCTGACCATAATGATTTCTTCTAGACGGTGAGAAGATGACGTCCCAATTGGAGAGGCTCAGTGTAAAGGCTGGCATTACCCCGATTCAGGAGGGTACATATAAGGGAAATGTCTGAAAGCTCTACCACGGAGAAACCAAGTGGGACCGCCGGTTGCGGACCATCGACCTCTCACTACCAGGGCTGATAAGAGACCATCATCCCAGTCCATTCCCGTGCCCAAACCGAAGGAGATGAGATCGAGTTGCTGCTGATGAGAAAGGCCTTTCCTGCTCGTTCATCGACCTTGACTCCGATTCCGAGCTTCAGCCAAATGAAGGTGAAGCTCAAGACCATGCCCCGACACCCTATAATTTTGTTCTCGTTATTATGCGCTCCTCTATCGCGTCTCTGCTTCACGGAAGCGTGAACTCTGTTGTCCTTACCATTGCTATTACCCCACTGCACGGTCAGCGCTGCGACGGGCTATCCATGCCATCTCTAAGGTGTTTCTTAATCTCTTCATGTGATGTCTTGATTTTTTTTTTAATTCGCATGTTCCAATGTATTGTGTTTATATTCTTTAGTTTTTTATCCTTTCTGGCGCAAGTTCCATCCACCTTGAAGAGAAAAAAAAGGAGGTCCGAGAGATGGCCATCAGTCACCACCGATCTAGAGGCGAGGCTAGGGGTGGTGGAGACTGCGAGGGTCAACACTGTGAATGAAGCTGGAGGAGCTGGAGGTCGCTCACATGGCGTGGAGGACTCATGAAGGCTGAAGGGGGAGGATCTGAAGAAGGTTACAGAGGCTGGCTCCCAAGCTCTCCATGCCTATTTGGGTGGGAAGCTAAGGGAGCTGGTCTCCCGACGAGATTGCTCAGGCATGGCTCCTGATCCCAGAGGGGGAGGCCAGACTTAATGGGGAGGGGGCTCTATGTTTTGAGGTGGGTGGGTTTGAGATGCAACAATCTATCTACAAACTGCTCAGAGCATCTCCAATGATAAAATGTGCATGGTGCACACGTGGCATGAGAAATGACCACATAAATATTAGTAAATAAATTCTTTCTCTCCTTATTTGAATGATTTTATACAGTTTTGGTAAGTTTTTCTCCACAATGTCAAGGAGACCGTCTAGATGTTGACATTGTTATTGACATTGCAGGGAAAAACTTACCAAAATTGTATAAAATCATTCAAATAAGGAGAGAGATAATTTATATGCAAATATTTATGTGGCTATCACTCATGCCACATGTGCACCATGCACATTATAGCATTGGAGATGCTCTCAAGAAAAAGGACCCAGGTTTGATGTTTCCTTCATCCACTTTATTTTTGAGTCCTCTAGAGAAACCTTCCGAAGCAATGATAAACAGAAAGGGTGATAAGGGTCCCCCTATTTAACCTAGTCCTTTTAAGCTGAAATAAGCTAGGCGTGGAGCACAGGGGTTTAGATGCCAAAGAAGTATAGGAAAAATTATTTTCATGAAAAACAACATCCCGACTAACATAAACTCGCCCCGTAGAAGGAGAAAGACAACGGTACCCTTTATATCCCGGAGCATACCAAAGAAAGACACAATGCATAGAGCGTGGTAAGAGCTTATTATTAGAGGCAGCAATGAAATTGGGAAAACAAGAGCAACCAAACACACACACAAAATTATAATCACGCAATTTATTAAAAATCCGTTGATATGGAGTGTCCGCATTCAAAATAAGTGTAGGCAAACGATTAATAATAAACGTGGCTGTGTATAGAGCATCGACCCAGAATTGACTAGGAATAGAAGAATCAATTAGTATAGTCCTGGTCAATTTGAGTAAATGTTTATGCTTGCGTTCAGCTACACCATTTTGAGCTTGAGTATTAGGACAAGATTTTCTAAATAAAATGTCTGAATTAAGAAAATGTTGACGAAAAATGGAGTTATCAAATTCACCTCCACCATGACTCTGAAAGACTTTAATTTTCATATTCAAAAAAATTTCAACAAGTTTTTGAAAATTAAGAAAATGAGTAAACACTTCACTTTTCCTTCGCATAGGATAAACTCAGGTATATCTAGAGAAATCATCTATAAAGGACACATACCTTCATGAGGAGTCATGTGCGCGGAAGCCCCAGAATCAGGATACCAGACCGAATCATGCGTCTCACCGGTGGGAAGAGTCGCGAGCGCCAGAGTATTATGAGCAGTGAAACGAGCACAGGTAATAACAGAGTGACCTGGAGAGAAGCAAAGCTGACAGACAACTGGTGGAGCATGTGATGGATATGAATTCTCAACAGATGGAAAACATGTATTAACATTATGAGTACCAAAAGTAGGAAAGTGATGAGTAAAAACATAACCAGAACTGTGACACCGCACCCGAGCGTCCTTGAAATTTAAATTTAAATGCAAAGCTAATGCATTGAATTTCCATTTACCGAACAATTGTAAGGCAATTGTTGTTTTATGTAACACATGTTTGATCATTTTTACCGTTGAGCTTGTATATTAGTGATGGGCTTCAAATACTTATTTGGGGCCATCTTATTAAATATAAGAGCCCAACATTTCGTAAATAATGATACATAACCTTTTGATACAAATTAAGGAAGTTCGGGCGGTCCAAACATTATTTTGGGCCCAACCTGCTAAAAATAGTAAGTATTCAAGAATGACGTCCTAGGCCCACTCGAGGGTGACCCACACAGCTAGTAGTCCAATAATATGAATGACAAATGTCAAAATAAGTGATAAAATGATTAGAGGAGAATACAAATGCATATGGTCCCATCTTCGACATTATTGAGCTAAATAATGGGAGTAGGATTTTTCCTTCTATAATGTTCATCATGTAAATTATTGGGATGATCCTACACATATTGGGGATCAATAATATGATGTATGAAGTTGACTTGGCCTACATAAATTATAATGAGTACAAAAAGACATCTCATGACAAAGATAAAACAATAGGGTCCATCTTTTCATTTTGGAAGTATTGGTAGGTATTTTGGACCCCAAATTGAATGGGATCATTTCGGAACCATCCCACATGACCTTGGTACCTGCAAGACAAAGAAAATGGGTGAGACAACTATGTGGGGCGGACATTTTGACTTAAGAGCTACAACATTACAAAAAGGAAATAAAAGAGGAGGTCCACACCATGTTTGATTGCAATCAAACACCCTACCCTTTCTTTTTGTGAACGACATGCTTTGATATCATTTTGAGAGCTCCTAAACACCTCCCCCTCACCTCCCATTCGAACTGAAAGAGATAAGAAAGAAGGGAGAGCCTCACACTCAAAAGGGAGAGAGATAAGGGAGCTGGCCGCAGGGATAACCTCCAGTTCGTGAAGCTCACTGTTTGGTTCGTATCTTGAGAAATACTCATCCAAAAAGGGCGTGTGAGGTGTCCACTGAAAGCTCTCAAGAAGAGGGATCCATAGACGTGCGGTTTGAAGAAAAAGAAGCAGTTTAAGGCCTCCAAATCGTCCGAACAAAACACAACCTTGCAGAATACGTTTTTGTATTCAAAGTAAGTTTGAATCCAAAACCTTCCTCTCTATTGTCTAACTCATATGAACGATTGAAGAACTATTATAAACTGGTTGAAGTGTATAAAATGTTATTATAAAGTGACTTTAATTGTTGGAAAGGTTAGATACTAACCTAGACAAAACCTTGAAAGGTTAGGGAACGAATTCGCCGGAAAAACACCCGTTCTAGGGGCTGTTTTCGTATCGACATTTAGGGGTTGAGCTAGCACTTTGAGGAGGCTGTTTAACACTCATATTTAAGCAAGGAATCAGTTCTTAATCCACTTTGACCGAAGCTTTGACCATTGGATCAAGAAGGAAAAGTTTAAAGCTCAATTAAGGTGAGGATCGACATCTAATTGTTTACAACTTGTAGGTTAAGCATGAGATTACCTAAATGCCTAAATCATGATTTTTCATGGATTATGATGCCTAAATATTGATGAAAAGTGGATATAGTTGACAATGAATGAATTTGTAAATGATTTGAGGTTGTATGGATAATACGAGGTTAAATGAGTTATTAATGAACTATTTTGTGAAATAGGCATTTTACTTATGTATTAAATATGTGGATACATAAATGGATATTTATGTATTGAAGTCGAATATTTAAGTTGCTGCTACATACTTATAAATATGTAGAGAATTACAAAATGAGGATATTTGTATGATGAAAATAGTCTTAATAGTATTGAAATACTAGTTAGTGATTATTTGAAATTGTTGAGAGAATTGATCCTAAGTATTGGATTGTATGAAATGCACTTGAATATACTTCAAGTGTATAGAATGACTTAGTATGAAGCTAAGGGTAAGTTATGGGCAGTCATTAAGAATGACCCAAGGTAGATTATTGAGATGTCAATTCTAGACATAGGGTTGCTTAGGAATTGGACTATAATGAAGAATTAGAGCCGGACTCTATGATTGCATGGAAACGTAGTTGGGCCGAGCCCTTGCCATGTAATTTTGATTTGCATGGAAACGTAGTTGGGCCGAGCCCTTGCCATGTAATTGTGATTTGCATGGAAACGTAGTTGGGCCGAGTCCTTGCCATGTAATTGTGATTTGCATGGAAACGTAGTTGGGCGGAGCCCTTGCCATGTAATTGTGATTTGCATGGAAATGTAGTTGGGCCGAGCCCTTGCCATGTGAATTGCAATTTGCATAGAAATGTAGTTGGGCCGAGCCCTTGCTATGCAAATGTGATAGGATGTACTTGACATAAAGGATTGCATAGAAATGTAGTTGGGCCGAGCCCTTGCTATGCAATGGTAATGTGATGGACTCTATGAGTTGTCGTGACTAGTAGTCACGGGGAACGGGAAATGGTGATTTCTAAATAAACATGGGCCTACGGGCTGACTACTTGACTTTGATATAAAGTAAGTATATTTTTAAATGGGGTAACTTGAGGTTACAGTCATATCATATTATCACCCTATTTGAGGGTCTTATGTTTGAAATACTTGTTGTATATCCCTTTGATGCCATCCACACCAGTACTTTATAGTCCTATAGAGTACTGACCCCTTCGGGGGCATCCCACCACCATTTCAGGTTGAGGCTAGAGCTTGCTTCCTGTGCTCGTTGATCGAGTGATTTCCCGGAGAGAAGACTTGGTTCGTGCTTCCTCCATTCTGATTTGAACACTAATAAAATTGCTCATGGATATTTTACTTTAGAGCCTGCGTGCTCATGTTTGCCCCGTGTGGCATTTGATTTCAAACTATGTTTTCTGCTGCGTATTAAATTACTTATTATGTATGTTTATGGATGACTTACATGTGAATGATATTCATGACGCCTTGTATAATATGGATGTGTTTGACTATGGTTGACTATTCGTATTGTACAGCGGGTTGTTGATGTGTCCGGATAGATCCGGGGCATGACAAGAACTAACATTACTCAATACCGAACATGTGCCACCAGGATATGGAGGACCACGTGGAGGGGAAGCCGGCTGCCCGTATGGAACACCTCCAAATTGCTGCTGAATATCTTTCATTTTGAACTTCTTTAAAAAATGGAGTGTCACACTCATTTATTGCTTGCCTTAGACTTCGAGAGTGTGGACCCGACGTGTGCCACATGATTTTACAACTTCCAAATATGTCTCATACTCCTTAGCACTTGATTACCTTGATTGCGGGTCCCTAACAATCCATATTTCACCATTGTCTCCTATAAAGGACATCTTTTGTCTTTGAGCAACCCTTGTGCCGAATTTTCCTTCACATAGGCATGTGTCTTCAACCGCGAACCCTAGGCGCGCAGCTTAGAGTTTCCGCAATCTCTCCTTCGTCCCTTTCACCTTTTCCATGTCTTCTACTTAACCCGTCCCTCTTCGTGTTGGCTTTCCTCGTGATGAGGGTTAGGCTCCCGCCGGCCCCAAATCGCTATAGATTCTAATCAGGGGCGGATCTACCATTGCAATTCAGGTGGAGCCAAAATTTATTTAAATAAAGTATATGGCAAAAAATTGTCAACATGTACTACAATAGTATGTTATTTTTTTTTTACCCCGGAAGGTAAACTACAATAGTATGTTATTTGACAAATTTATTTTCAAATATAAAATAGAAGTTGTTGCAACTTAAATGTCAAAGAAAAAAATAATTAAATAAATATAACGGTAATGAATTAAAATTAGGACAAATTGATAGTAATAATCCCAACTATTGGCGGTCCGCTCATAATAATCTCAACTATTGATTATTACAGAATAATCCCAACTTTAGGGACCTTCCGCCAATAATGGTCCCTATGAATAAATTCTTGTAGTTTCTAAAATGGATGAGGTGAGATATAACAAGTAATCCCTCTAAATAATCTCAACTTTTAATTTTTACGCTTAATTTCTATTTAAAATTCACTTTTTATAGAGGTAATATATGGTCATGGACCATTATTAGCGGATAGTCTATATAGTTGGGATTATACAAAAATAATCAATAGTTGGAATTATTTTCAGCGGACCGGCAATAGTTGGGATCTCTGTTCTAAAAATCGCTCTAGGCGTCCGACTAGTCCCCGCCTAGGCGCTAGGCGGTGGTCGGGCGCCCTGATTTTCGTCTAGGCGCTCCGACTAATTGGTTAGCCGTCTAGGTGAATTAGTCGGCCGCCTATGGCGCTTACTTGCCCGCCTAGAGCGCCTAATCAGCCGCCTAGGCCGGCTAGATTCGTCGAACATTACTTCACTTTTTAATTTTATTTTTTTAAACGCAATACGTACTTTAACTTTAGCCATGCATATAAAGAAATGAAATTGTAAATTAAGATAAACCTATGTATGTTTGTACATATACATGCTCAAATTTTATTAGTATTTATATTTATAATATAATGAAGTTAAGTGATTAGTTTCCATATACTATGTATGATTAAATTTGATAATTCTCTGTTCTAAAAATCGTTCTAGGCGCCCGACTAGTCCCCGCCTAGGCGCTAGGCGGTGGTCGGGCGCCCTGATTTTCGTCTAGGCGCTCCGACTAATTGGTTTGCCGTCTTGGTGAATTAGTCGGCCGCCTATGACGCCTAGTTGCCCGCCTAGAGCGCCTAATCGGCTGCCTAGACCGTCTAGATTCGTCGAACATTACTTCACTTTTTAATGTTGATTTTCTAAGCGATATGCGTACTTTAACTTTAGCTACGGATATAAAGAAATGAAGTAATAAATTAAGATAGAACTATATACCGTATATGTTTGTATATATACCTAAATTATATCATTATATGTATAACATAATGAAGTTAAGTGATTCGTTATCAAATACTACGTATGATTAAATGTGATAATTCTATCATTCATGTTTGTTAATGTATATGTATATATGTATTTTATACACACAAAAATGAAATATTACTTATCATATTTATGCAAAAATATAGATAAAAATGCAATTTCTATGTCCCCGACTAGTCCCCGACTAGGCGCCCGC